AAAGTCGAGAGATCAACTGTATCGTCTCATCGGTGATGACTCACGCAACTGGACAATACAGAGCATTAAGAATCGATACCCACGTGGATATTAGTCCTAAATTTATGTTTAGAGTTTAGAATCTAACAGATGTTTATCTTAGATCGAGTTCGAACCGTATATGTCTATAGCAATCCAAACCCATTAAGTAAAAAATCAAGATAACCATCGATAAAGAGTTGTAAAAGAGATTTTATACAAAGATCCATAAATATACATACAATCAAGATAAACTTACATACAAAACCCCAACAAATGAAAACTACATAGAGAGGAAGGAAGAAGAGCACAAATCTCACGGTCCGTCAACTCCGATTGAAGTGGATTCGACTCCAGATCGTCAAGATGCACCTTCCAATGTTGTTTCTAAGCTAAATCTACTCAAGAATGTGTTTGATGAAGTTGGGGTAAAAAGTTCCCAAACAACATAACCTAAAAAACGCTGAAAAATCACTTAAATAGGCAAAAATAGGTTCCAGTGTTCGCCTAGCGAAGTCCCATTCGCATAACGAACTTATGCCTCATTTTCTACTACCAAAACAGTATTTTTCACGCGTTTTAGAAATTCCTGTTTACACTACAAACTTTTGTTCGCTTAGCGGACATGACAGCAAAACCAACACTTGTTTTGACCATAACTTTTAAACCGTAACTCTGTTTTACGCGCGGTCGGAAGCGTTGGAAATCTTATCCAATGCTCTATAAGACAATGACAAAATATCATTACTTATATACCTACAAAAATGAGAGAAAAGCAATTAAACTCAATCATATTTACATGATACACAATATATACATTATAACGTAAACTATGCAACATATGCACAAAAGTTGAGGTTTATTGGTTGAATTAAACCAACAAGTGCCAATTATTTACACTCAAAATCAATACAATTTAGCACTTATCAACCTCCTAGGTTGAACTTGAGATGATTATGGAGTTTCACCAAGATTCTCATCCCGTGACAAATCGCTCTCCCCTTCACCATCATTAGTTGGAATATTTACCTCATATCCAAGTTGTTGATCATCAACTTAATCATATGGCTCACCATTGTGACCATCACCATCAATAACATCTAGATTATGACTAGGTAACCGAACTGGATTAATATTAGACAAACTGATATCTTTCTTGGGTGTAGCCTTTTCTACCTTATAAATATCTTCAATAGTTTGGCATTCCATAAAAACCACATCACGAGTTCGAATAAGCTTAATCCCTACGGGGTCATATAACCTGTAGCTAAACTCATCTTCCCCATAATCGATTAAGATACATTGTTTTGACTTTACATCCAACTTGAATCTTTCATCCTTTGGAATATGCACAAAAGCCTTACAACCAAAGACTCTCAAATGATCATACTTGACATTCTTTCCAAACTAAATTTTGTTTGGAACTTCACTATTCAAAGCAATAATAGGAGTGAGATTAAGAACATGCACTGCCGTGTAAATTGCTTCGCCTCAATAATGATTAGGCAACTTAGTTTCAGAGAGCATACACCTTACTTTCTCAATTAGCGTTTGATTCATCCTCTTTGCTAAACCATTCAATTGAGGAGTTTTAGGAGGAGTATTTTCATGTGGAATACCATACTACTTGCAATAGTAATCAAATGGTCCACAATACTCCCCACTATTGTCTGAACGAACACATTTCAGCTTCTTGTCTGTCTGCCTCTCAACCAAAGCATGAAATTCTTTGAACTTTTCCAAAACTTGGTCTTTTGTCTTCAAGGCATAAACCCATAGTTTCCTGGAACAATCATCAATAAAGGTAACAAAATAAAGTGCACCGCTAAATGATTTTACCTTTAATGGACCACAAACGTTATAATGTATCAATTGAAGCAACTTTGACTTACTTGAGGGAGGATGTCTCTTGAAAGATACTCTAGCCTGTTTACCAGCCATGCAATGAGAATACTTCTCCAAATCTACATTCTTTAATCCAGAATGAACATCCTTTTTGGCCAAAATATTCAGCCTCTTTTCACTAATATGACTAAGTGTTCGGTGCCACAAAAATGTTTCCATGTCGATAGCATTCACATTATCCCTAACAACCAAAGCTTTTGTCCAATACAATTTAGAAAGCTTTTCCCCTCTAGCCACAACCAAGTTACTATTGTTGAGTTTCCACTTTCCAGAACCAAAGTGATTATCATAACCACAAAGATCAAATTAAAGCAGACATCTGGAGCATGTTTGACACCTCTAAGCAACAATTGCATTCCCATGTTGGTTTGCAAGCAAAAATCACCAACACCAATTACCTTAGATACAACATCATTTCCCATCTTCAACACTCCAAAATCACCAGAAGTATAAGATGTGAAGAAATCCTTCCTAGGTGTAACATGCGATGTAGCACCACTGTCAACTATCCACATGCTCCCGTCTGATACAAGATTAACATACTCATGATTATGGAGAATAATAAGATCATCACTAGTAGCAGTAGTAACATGACCATCATCATGATCTTCGTGGCCTCTTTATTTAGACTTACCCTTCTTGCCTTTGTTATCTTTTTTTCACTGATAGCAATACTTATGTATATGTTCTATTTTGTGACAATAACGACACTCCAGATTCTTGTGTCGCGACTTGGATTTGCTTATGCTATTCTCTCTACCACCATTCAGTTCTGTTTTATGACTTCTCTCACTACTTTCAGTGACAAGCACCTTGGGTTAAGATGAAGAACCCTGTGCATTCCTTCTCATCTCCTCATTAAGAATACCACCCTTAGCCGTTTCCAAAAGAACAACACCTCTAAAAGAAAAACTTGTGATAGAAACCCGAAATGTCTCCAAAGACTCTGGTAAAGATAGTAATAGAAATAGTCCCAAAAGTTCATCATCAAATTTGATACTCATTCCTGACATTTGATCAAGGAGGCCTTGAAATTCACTCAAGTGATCTCAAATAGAAGTTTCCTCCTTATACTTCAAACTTATGAAGCTATTCAACAAGAACAATTTATTATTTCCTGATTTAAAGGCATAAAAGGACTCTATCTTTTCCCACAATTTTTTTGCATGTGTCTCATTAGCAACACACATGTTGGTGTTTAAACTCCCATTCTTCATTGAACACAGAATATGGCTTTGCGCAACTAAAAACTAGTAAATGCAATTTCTTCACAAATAGTAAATCTATCATCTCGCCCTTCCATAAATGGAAATTAGAACATTCAACAATACCATCTTCATCTTTGTATTTGACTCTATCATTCAAACAAGTAAAATTACCCTTAACCAAAAGCACAAATGCCACTCTGATGGGAAATTAAGATACAATAATATACCAATACGCATCGGATATAAAACTCCCCAAACTTGTAGGAACCTTGAGGATCAACAACAAATATAAGACGACAAATTGAACAAATAATGATACAAAAGAACATCGATATTCTTAACGCGGAAAACCCCTTAATATTAGAGTAAAAATCATGAGTCGTTCAGACTAAAGAAATAATTCTACTATAATTAATTAAGGGTACAAGAGAGTCTTAAAGTGATTCACAAAATAGTGCTATCAACCGCAAATCACAAATCAAACTAGCTTACAAATAAAAGTAAAAAAATTGAATTTTCCCCCCAAATCTAAGCTTCAGTGCGAAGCAAATAACTTTAATCTTCGAAGTTGTTTTGAAATTCTGAATGGTCAAAAGTTAGATATATGTGCTACAAATCTGCCTTTCAAATTTGAGCTCGATCCAACGGTTAACGAATCGGGATCATCAATTTAATGAGACTAATTGCAGGAAAAACGGGAATGAATTTCTCTCATCTTTTCTCTCTTTTGAATCCTTATTTTTTCTCTATCTCTCAACCCTAAATTAATTCACTCCAGTTAAATGAGTGAGACAAATAGATTAGTCATATTTAAATCTTTCTCCACATAGAAAGGGAGGCCAAATCTAACCGTAACTAATATTTCCTCTTAGACTCCCAAATCATGCGCCACTCCCTTGACATGGTGGTAGTGCATATATAATAGGGTCTGACACGAGTGTGAAAATTTGAATGCAAGCCCTAGCAAGTAGCAACATTGACACATTCTCTTTAACAAGAATTATTTTTGTTTAAAACTTGATACTTTGGTATAATTGAAATGTTAATTCTTTAGGAATTCAAATTGAAAAAGTTGATTATTTGTAAAAAAAAATCTCTAAATTTAGCGATGATGAAAATATGAGTAAAAGATGAAAACGTAAAAATTTAAATGACAAAATATTTCTTTTGTCCCTTCTTCTTCTTCCAGAAACGTGTGCCGCCATTTCTCACTTTTTCTTTCTCAAAATTCAATTGAGCCTTGAGAACAGTTTCTCTTGAAGGTTTCATGTGTCTGTTGTAGTTCATCCATCAAACCCTCAACTTCAAATTTAAAGGTACAAATTTTCAATCAATCTTCACCAATTTGGTCAGTTAAAACTCAAATTTCACTTTGATTTGGGATTCTTTATATGCAATGTTGCTGTTTTTTATGCAGTTTCACTCTAGGTTTTCACAACAGCTGCAAAGAAACCACCTTCCAGCATACAATCATTGGCGTGAAATTGAAAATCTTACGAGAACCTTATCCTTCCAATTCAATGGAACAAGTTTTGCACTGTATTGGTAAGATCAATGCTTCAATCTCTTTATTGAATAACCATGTATCTGGTCTCTTTTAGGTTTATAGAATAATTAATATATGTGGTCTCTTTTAGGTTTATTGAATAATCCATGTATCTGGTTTTTATAGAGACCAAATACATAGATTTTGAAACAAAAAATCTTTGCTTATAATAGTGATTAGAGCAACAATTCATGAAATTGAAGCAAAGGTGAACTCATTGATGAAAATAATTGCATGGTCTATCTAAGTTTGTCTTATATACAACATAGATCATTTAACACTAGAAAGTATACAAGTTAAGTAACTAGAGATTTTAAAAAACTTTAACTACTAATAAGTTCTATCAAAGTATTGAAATTTTTTGCAGAACTACCATCTCTTTCAACAGCTTGCAATGCAGCTTCTTTTAGTTTCTCAACTCTCTGTCTCATTTGCTTCCCTGTCTCACTTGACATAACCAACTCCAAAGCTTTCTTAGATGATTCTTTTGTCAAAACACCATTGTCAACACCTATCCCAATATGCCAAACACTTTCTAACATTCTTGCATTCAATCTTTGATCTCCGAAAAACGGTCTACTAATCATCGGTACACCGCCAACGATACAATCCAACACAGAATTCCAACCGGAATGCGTGAAACAAACACCGACCGATGAGTTTTTAAGGATATCTATTTGAGGAGCCCATGCGACGATTTTTCCTCTTGTTTTTGTTCTTTCTGTGAATCCGCTTGGCAATTTTTCCTCTGGATTGCCCCTAAAGGCCCAAATAAATGGATATCCACATTCTTCTAAAGACTCCGCCAATGCAGCGAACTCGTGAGGCGGGGGTGTTATTGAGCTTCCAAAGCTTATATACACTACTGAGTAATCCTCATGTTTGTTCAACCATGCTACACAACCATGTTCATCGTTCGTCATACGTTGTGGTGTCGTCAAGATGAATGGACCAACGTTTAGCAGCAATTTGAACTTGGCCTCCAACTTACTCTCAATATCGGTGTGTATTGTAGCAAATGAGTTTATGGGAACCGCAGTTGCTTGCGGTAACGCGAGTCCCATTTTGTGTAACATTGATGCAAATGGTCCGCTAATATCACCTATTACCCCTTCCGGCAAATCGGAAACCTCTAGCTCCGGAAAACCAGGAAGGAAATCTTTGTGATCATCGGCTCCTGCAAGACAAGGTAAATCAAATCAAAATTTTATAAGTTGTATATTATAAAACATTTTTACCAGAACCGTTTAGCTTTCAGAGGCTCTGGGTAGGTCAGACACAATTTAGCTGTGATAAAACAAATAAAGACCCTATTCGTCATAGTTTAACCGTGACAAATATTTTATGACGTCTCTTTTAGCCATGGTTTAACTGTATTAAATTTTAGACTCTATACGGTAGCCTGCCTCCAAAGAGGTCCCTGATTTTTACACATACATCTAGTTATTTGTAGAGATATGTTAAAAACCATTTCATAAAGAAGATGTGTTGATCAAACAGTTTGTGTATGGTACCTTTATAGTCTCCTAACTTTTCTCTGATAAGATCTGTGAAGACATGGGTAAGGAGAGAGTGAGCTCCTGCAGTCCAAAGAGGAATCCATTTCGCATGCATTTTCTCTGCGAAATCCGCGCCAAACCAAAAAAAAGCATCAGTAATAAAGCATGTAATGTTCTTCCCCGTCTCCGTCACAGCCACATCTATAGCATTCTTAAAATTCTCCGGCATTGCTTGAATAAACAGATGAATAGCTTCCGCCGGAGATCCTGATTGCACAAAACCCTCCGGTAACCCATCATGAATATTATAATAAGTTATGTTAGGAAGAAACTCGTCTTGATTACCCGTGCCAGAAAACAACGACTTATTTGATTTTTCCGTGCTGAAGAATGAAAACGTAACTCCAGGAGATTCTCCTGCAACTCTTCTAACAAAACTAAGAAGTGGAGGTGCATGTGTTCCAAACGGGAACGCCAAAACCGCGACATGTTTTTCAACATTGTTACCGTGCCGTCCTCCTTTCGGAGCAGCCATCCAGTTTTTCAAACGCGAAAGCGTAAACATTTTTTCTTAATTATGTCAAACACAGCAACTAAGATCAAATTATAACTTGATTTGATGTTGTTGTGGAACAACACTAGTTATAGTTGCATGCATTTGGTTGAAAAATGTTAATAACAACTTGTATTGTTAACATAGAGGTGGAATTAGCATGATAGAAGTTAGGTGTTTCATAAATAAATGTTAGTGGCAAAACAAGGTAAGGTACACATGGGATCTTTTTTCTTTTTTCTCAGTAACATATGTAACTTATCTCTAAATGTGTTTTGTGTTTTTTCTTACAGAGACAACAATGATTTGTGTATTGTTTTCTCAGAGTATGCTTAGTTCCGAAATTAACGAAAATAGGCTAAATATAGGTAGCTATATTAACCACAAAACTATATAGTCAATGAGACCTTGAATTTATCTCGTTCTCAAGTTTTTATTTATTTATTTTTTAATTTTTAATTTTATTTTTAATTTTTTAATTTGATTTTGTATTTATTTTTATGTTAGAAGCTTGGGTTAATTTTTAAAACTACTAAATTGTTGATGAGGATTTAACCATCCTCTCAATTAAGTCTGACATATCATACAACCGCCGCTATTATTTTGATGTCTTTATTAATTTTTTTTTATAGAATTTTCTATTGCAGTCTCTCAATAATTTCAAAGAAATATAGAAATTTTTTGAAATTTTCAATAAAAAATCAATGATTCTTAGAAAAATTTGATGAAATATCAGAATTTTCAAAAATAAATTTATACTACCAAAAATTTCGAAACTTTCGATTAAGTATTAGACTTTTTGAAATTTCTAGTAAAATACAGTATTTTTTGAAATTTTTGATAATATAATTTATAAAAAAAACAATAAAAAACTTATATTGATAATTTAAAAATAAACTACTGAAAATTTAATCTATTATATAAAATTTTGAAAAATGTAATCTATTATATAAAATTTTAAATGAACTATATAAATTTTCGTTCGTACTTTTTGATTCACATTTATCCATAGATAGTTTGAAAATTATAAAAACACCAGGTTAAATCTCCTAGTTAGTTATTCATGAGATTTTGTAATTAAAATAATCACAAGAACCGAGACATTTCAATTAGGGAGCGGTGAACTAAACAACCATTTCCCTTTTGTTGGACTTCTTTTCTTGAATCTCCTTAGTTACATGGGGTGTTAGGTTAAGTATGACAACAAACAGACAATATGACAATATTAACATGGAAAAATCAATTGAACTTAATTTGAGTGTGGTAAATTCTAAAAATGAGAGCAGATGTGTTGAAATTTGCTACACATTCATCCCCCACATATTTCAAAGTTATCTTCATATGATAAAGGTCTTGAGCGCTTCGTGCCAAGCCCTAGATGTTTGTCTCGCTTTGTGAAATTTACAAACATAAGTTGGATAGGGAAAGTTTGAGTCGGGAGGTTGAGTCATATAAACATCTTAGTTTAGTGACTCTTGGAGAAATGTATTGATCTATTCGAGTTGATGCATTTGCGATTCTCTTGTCAAAGGAATTGGGAGAATTAATTTAATGGTTTGAGATCGGACTACATGTGCAAAGGTTTCTTTAAAAATCTGTCTAATGTTATTGTGTAAATTTTTTTACCACCAACCTCGCTCTGTGATGACCTATGATGCCGTTAGGATTTCATTTGATTTGAAACCACCACTCACAATTAATAATGTTCTGACTCTTTGGTGTTGGGACACGGGCCATGTCCATGGTGAATAATGAATTCAATTCTTTAGATTTTGCTTGTCTTTAATGAGGATGTTGCATTCACATTAGATGGTTCTAGATTTCCAATATGAGAATGATTCTGACGCAAGGAAAAATTTCTTTAGTTTAAAAATAATGTTATGATATCTAGTGATGATGCAGTTTGTTGGGGTTGAATTTATTGTTGGGTTAGTGGAAGTAATATAATTGTGTGAAAAGGAAGGTGTGGAAAAAGATACATTACCTGATGAAGTGATTGGAGACAATGGAGTCACTTGAAGGATTGCTTCTATTGTAAGAGGTATTATGGTCGTGGGTGAGTTTTGTTGTTGTGGTATGGTGGGATGAAGAGGTAGAATTATATGAGGTTGGGTCGAAATAATATCTGTTGGTAGGTTTGCATTAGGTGATTTTAGGTGAGGGTTGGATGCAGAAATTGATTGTCATGGAATATGACGTGTCATGAGGTGTAAATTTTGTTGGTTTTCGGATTTAGACAATGATATGTCTATTGACATGATGAGTAACCAATGAATACACATGGTGTAGATTTAAGTTAGTGTTTGTGGTTTTTGTAAGTGTCGCAACTGCGAAAAATTCGGCGGAAAAAACAGAAGAGTCACCATCGAACATTATTTATCTCGACGGGGGAAAAGAAACGATCGAAGAAAACCTCAAAAAGGGGAAACAAACATGGTCTCGCAACCAAACCTTAGGGTTGGGAGTCGATTACGCGAGAGGAAGATATTAACACCCCATCGCGTCTGTTGTACTCAACGGGATCCGCGCTTGTTATCTAATCAAAGAGTGTGTTATCTAAAGCTTTACTGCTAAACGGGAACGGAAAAAGGGGGAAAACAAAAGCTGACTCGATAGGACTTCGCCGTCCTAGGCCTACGTATTCCCTCGTGCAATAGGAAAGTCAGAGTCAACGTAGTCCGAAAGACTACGTGTGAAAAGGGGAATGTTGCTCGCCAAGACATTGCCGTCTTGTGCCTACGTATCCTCATCTGGTATGAGAAATCAGAGCGTCTGTAATTCGTGGTTACGACCACAAATTGGTTAAGTGTTTTTTGTGAGCGATGTTAAGTTCGCGTTCCAGCAGTTAGGGTCGATGCCTGTTTGCGGTAGAACGGAAATAATATGTCCTTTCTGAAAAGAAAAGTTTGAAGGGACAATCTTGAAGGACAAAATAATTTGAATATGTTTGAAGTTGAGAAACAAATAGACATCAACTCTGAGGTTAGGGCTTGGAGAAAAAGATAGGCGTCAACTCTGAGGTTGAGAAAAAGGATGACGTCAACTCTGAGTTTGGGGGATCAAAAGGTAGACATCAACTTTGAGGTTGGTAAAAAGGTAGACATCAACTCTAAGGCTGGACAAAACAGGCGTCAACTCTGAGGTTGGGGAAGACAGGCGTCAATTCTGAGGTTGGGGAAGAAAGACGTCAACTCTGAGGTTGAAGTTTAAAAGTAGGCGTCAACTCTGAGGTTAGGGTTTGCAGGATTCGTGGAGGAATATCAACTAGGAATTTGTACGGGTAATGTTTTATTCGGAGGACTGAAATCACTGTTTTGATTGAGGGTTGATCTAGGCTTTCGTGCAAGGTACCAAAACTAGCTTATGCTTCGTGCATGTTTGAATTTTTCTATGGCGTAATGCTCTATATCGAATGGAAATGCTACGCATTTTGGTAGATGCAATGTAATGATAACTATATGCAAGATGCAAAGAGGTCCCCTGCCGGGGAATGCGTAGAACGTAACAAGCAACTTCACTAAGGAAATGATCACCAATATCTGATCTCCTATGGGGAAATAACCAACTGTACCACCAATAACTACTGGCGCTGCAAACTTTGTCGAGGAACCACAAACTAAATTGTGAACTTTGATGGGAAGATGCCAATGAATATTTGATTTTGAATTGTTGAGAATGCCAATAACCATTGGACTTTGAACTGCGGGGAATCATCAAATCTGACCTTTGAGGAAGAGAATACCCTGACTTCTCACCATCTTCAAACTGATTGGGAATATTCCATCCTCCCACGCTGCTGGGGATAATAAAATCCTCACAAGAACCCTTCTCTACTCGAGGATGATTCTCTGCTTGGGGAGAATAAAACTGCCAACACTTTGCAGGGAAGAAATACATTTTAACATCTTGTTGAGGAAGAGAAACTCCCTACTTGGAACAACCTTGGCGCTTCATGCTTCTGCCGATCAACTGCATGCTAATTATCATAGGTGAACAACGGTTCCTTTAATTCTCAAGTTGTCTCGGACCACAAGGTCTATTGGGAGAAATCATCTTAAGAGGATTTCATAGAAAACCTGACATTCAAAATGCCCCAGTGTCTTCAAACTCTTGGAGAGATTTATGGGATCTCGACGTAACTGCCCCAGACTGCATAATCTATGAAGGAATTTGTCATGAGGGGATTCATAAAGAACTTTGTACCACCATGTCTTGAGATATCTTCCCCAGTATTTTGAACCTTAGGGAGGTGCTTCTGGTTAATCGTCTTTTGGTGAGGATAACTTCGCGTGCTCTTGAGGTGGCCTGCCTCGATACGAGCCTTGAAGTGACTTTGCCCCTGACTGATTGATCTTTGAGAGAATGCCCCAGAATAACTGCTTTTGAAAAGATTTCCGGATCTCGAGTTGATTGCCACAGATTGGCTACATCTCAACACGACTTACTGGGAAAGCCCATGCTCCACAGAGTCTCTTGGTAACATGGCCTTTCACATGATTGTCCTTCGGATGTTTCAGGCATCCTAACTCGACTCGATTAAACTTCTCGACCGATGTTCATTATGTAAGCTTCTTTGATGTTTAAACACATGTATGCAAGCAGAAAACATTTATTCTGAGAATGATAATTCTAATGCAACACACATGTTAATCTTGAAGTTGTTATTGAAAAGATGTCGCCAAACCCTATGAACGAGTCACTAGTTAGGATGCGACATTGATTTTTGAATGGAAAAAAAAGCATGCACATGCAATACCAACAAAGATCTTATTAGCACAACTCATGGGAGTCAAGAACGCTATCTCGTTGAAGTACGCTTTCAAAATAAGCCCTGCTTCACTAAAGAATATAAATGCGTCAAGGAACATCTGGTGATGTACCTCACGATGGCGAAAAGATTGTTGGAACGCTTTGAGGTGGTCAATATTGTACACGTGCCCAGGATAGACAACCAAGAAGCTAACGAGCTAGCGCAAATTGCCTCTGGGTACAAAGTCTCAGAAGACAGGTTG